ATTCTCCTCAGGTGTATTTCAATCTGGATAGTATGTATAATCCCAGAAACACGTATGTACTACTTCAGTTTCGGTTTATCGGGAAAGGCCGTTTTTAAGTTGATATTGCCAGTAGCAGAAAACATACTTTGTAAACCGTTTATTCATGTCTTAAGAGCTCAGTTCGTCACGTAGTCTTTCCCGCTCCAATGCACAAGGGTCAACAAAAAAAAATCTCTGCGTGGGTGGCTATTTTAAACTTGACTGGCTAAAATTAGCGGCTAGAGCTCGTTACATTTAAGGGTCGATTAACAATAACTTCCTCTGTGGAGTGGCACTACTTACAACGCAGGGTCAGTTTTTGCCAAAATGAGCTCCAAAATTGACAACTACTTGGAAGAAACACTGAGCGATATTGACGACTTTATTCAGGCTGAGCTGGGATTCGCACCGCTGAGTTCTACAGAGCCTTTTTCAGCCGCAGAATTACACGATTTAAGCTCCCTTCTGCGAACTCGAGAAACGTTCAATGGATCATTCGTCGATCATACGCGAGGTGAGCACAAGTTTCAATGATATATCGTATTTGCAATATTTGTTTGTTCATTTTAATACTGTGTCTTTAATTAGCACAGCAGTGCTAAATACATCGATACTTAAATAAAATGATTTATTTATTATATTTTATGGTTGGTAGTGCTAAGTGAGGTTGTCAATTAAGGCAGCCTTACCTTTTCCATTTTGTGAAACAATGTTGTCATCACACAGAATGCAGTGTTTTGGTCCATTCCTTGTGTTTGATATAACGAACTTAATGAACTGATCCAGATCACACTGAAATTCAGTGCGGAACTCGTTGGCGTAAGAGCCACAACTGAAATCGCATTATGAAGGGTCCGGAAAAAACCTCGTTAATTCTCTAACTCTAGTGCCTAGTCAAGAAAACGTACAATGTATATTATCAAAAGTATCTCAAGAACTCTGGTGAAATGTGATGATGATTTACAGGAAACCCGGCAGCCTGCTCCAGTCATAAGACGTTGAACCAGGTTCCTGAAGTTGACGTAGAAGTTCAGATAATGGACCTCAAAGATGTTTACGACAAAAAAACGAAGAAAACTAACGAAGGATTAGAGTATCGCTTGGAAAACTCGGAAGTAACTGTTGTTGTCCGAGCATCTGATGAAATCACCAGTGTTCAGGCTTATACTCAGAGGTGTGCCGAAGCTGCGATTAGGACACACGACACTAGTGGTAGGCGATGAAATCTTATAACATTGTTCCATGTATAATTATGACTATATTCTATAAATGATATAAATATATATATTGTATTAATACAAGTTTAATCATTCTATAGGTCCGGTTGAACTAGATGTGAATACTCTACAAAGTGACTCAAGATATCGCGTTGTCACCGTAGATCTTGGGTCGGTGTACAAGACACAGGAGGGTGACTCAGTCTACTGGTTAGAAAAGGCAGAAGTCATGAAAAGGAACAAATGGGAACTGATAATCGCAATGAAATTTAGTTCAGGCTTGAAAGGAACTGTTAAGTCAAGACCATTCAGAGTTACGACTAAAGCAAGTTATAAGACGAAAAGCAATGGAGGTTAGTAGTTTTATAAGATTATATCTCTTTTCCATGGCGCGAGAAGTAAGGAAATGGGAGAAAGATCGCTGTTTGGAAGGACATGGAATGTGTACAAGGTCTGAAGAAAATAGTTAAAACTGCTGCAAATGTGAAATTGAAAGGAAAAGTCACTTCCAGAGCTATTCGAGTGCATAGTAGATTCTCTGTGCCCCAAACAGTGCCATAGACGCTTTTTATTTATTTATTTATATTTATTTTATTTGCCCATCATGATATCATACATTAACAAGTACATTTGGTTGGTTTACAGTGGCAGGAGATCTTAGCAAGCCCTATTGGGATCCCCAGTCGATATATAATATATTAAATTACAATTTCTTGGTGGCTTAGTTTGAAAGTGACAAGTTGTGTTTTCAATCAAACCATTTGATTATTATGTATCAGTATTATTGTTATTATTATTAATCTAAATGATTTTGTATATATATCTTAATATAAATTTTTAAATAAACTATAAGATTTTATATTTCTTAAGTTTTCTGGTATACTGTTCCATATATTTGCTCCTCTGTACTTTACAGATAATTTCCCATAATTTGTCCTTTGATAATCAATGTGTATATTAGATGCAGAGCGTGTATTGAATTATGTAAGTTTTATTTTTTTGTAAACCATTCTTAAACTACCCCTCTTATTCCACAATGTTCAAGTTTTCCCAATAGAATTTCATGGTTGACTGTATCAAATGCCTTAGCAAGATCTAGAAATACACCAATCGTATATTCATTGTTATCAATTAACTGGGTTATCTTTGCTATAAGCTCCAATGTTGCCAAATTAGTTTAGTGCTTTTTTTCGAAAACCATATTGGCTTTGAAAAAATATGTTTTTTTTCCAAGGTATTTTGCAATTCTCCTGTACATCAACTTCTCTAAAATGTTACTAATGCATGGAAGAACAGAAATTGGTCTATAATTTGAAAATTTTCCTTGTTATTTGCTTTAAATATGGGAGTTACTACTGCTATTTTCAGTTGATTTTGTATTACACCAGTGAGAAACGATTGGTTGAATATGTAAGTCAGAGGTTTAATGATGTAGATATTTTCTTTACAACTTTTAGTGGTATTTCATCTATCCACAGGACTCGTTTTCTTTTAATTGGCTTATTTCATTTTCGACCTCTTTTTCTGCAACTGCATCTAAGAAAAACGAATGCATATTTTTCTTGGTTATGTAGGTGGTATAACAAACCAACATTAACGAATTACTCATTGAATTTCTTAGTTATTTCTTTAGGATGAGAAATTGTTTCTTCATTTTCTTTGAATTTATCTGGTAGTTCTGATATCTTTTTCTTGTTAATTATTAATTTAATTCCATGTAAGTTTCAAGTTACCCTAATACTCACTGAATTTGTCATCATAATACAATTTCTTTTTCAGTTTTCTTTAACTTATTGAATCTATTACAATAATTTTTTTTGTAATTTTTTTTCATTTATATAATTTGGATTACTTAAACATTTCTTATACAGCTTTTTTTTGCTTTTCTGGAAATTTGAATGTCTTTTGTAAGCCATGGTATTGTTCTGTTCTCAACATTTTTTGCTTTTTGGAAGGTATGCTTTATATATCTCGTGAAGTCTTAAAAAAAAGATCATAGGGGGGGGGGGGGGGGGGGGAGGGGGGGAGAGGATTGAGTGGCTAGCCACCCCCCAAAATCCGCCACTTGCAATGCCACACCAGTTCAAAAATTCTGAAACCGCCCTGTTAAGTACACTTTAATAATTTGTTAATTGATAGAAATGTGGAAAGATACAGTTCATCATCCTCTATTTACTTACTTACTTACTTACTTATTTACGTACTTGCTTGCTTGCTTGCTTGCTTGCTTGAGTGCGTGCGTTCTAGTTGCTGCCAAGTGTATCCCATGGACTTGATCGTCAGCTATGTGTCCCTCCTCTAGCTGTTTCTGGGTCTTCCGCTTCGTCTCTTACTTTGAGGGTTCCACAAGAGAGCTTGTCGGATGATGCTATTAGCCGGTCTTCTAAAAGTATGGCCTATCCATATCCCGGATTTCCTTTTCATTATCTGCTGTTTCACTGGTGTTTTCCTAGCTGTGACCTCCCACAATCTGGTGTTATCTCTCTGGATCTCCAAATGTTTGCCAAGATGTTAAATCATCCTCTATGCAATACATTTAATTTATTTTCTTGTGCATGAAGGGTTTTGAAAAAAAATTCACGCCTATACCAAATAACCCAACTCAGAAGTGAAATGGTCCGCCCCTTACTATGCCTTAGAAATCCTTACTTTTATTTAATTCCGTTACTAATTTGTTGAAAGAATCTTGGTGATAATCGCATTCATCGACATAATTTACTAATTTGCAATAGTAATTATAGTCTGGATCTACAACAGCTCAGAATTTAGAGTAAGGAATCGTTTACCTCTATGTCGTTTGAGAAAGGGTTAAAGATCATATTTTGCAGTTTTCTTAGCTTCTCAATTTCACATTCGTTCAATTGAAACTTTGATTGCTGAATTAATTCTTTGAATTAATTCTTTGAATTAATTATTGTTTAAATCAGAAAAAGGTAATGGATCATTCATAATCAATGTATGTCTCTTTTGTTATTCACGAGAGTTACGTGACTGTAATTGTAACTACGGGATTTCTAAATGGTCAGCCGAGTTACGCAACTCCTTTACTCTATATATCATCTCCTCGCTGCTTGTACCTAATTTTCCCATTCACGAACCATGCATTTCTTTGCTCTGCTGTTCCAACTCTGTGAATGATTTCAATTTCATCCGACTTCAACTCCACATCGAGGTTTTCTGTTGCAAATGAAAATGATCTTTTCTTCTAAGTTTTCTCCCCTTTCTTCATCCAAACCGTTAATCCTGAGATTGTTCTTTCTTGAGTATTGTTCATTTTTAACTCCATACTCTTACGCTCTTGCAATCCTGTCTTTTAGGGTCTTCCCCATGTAATCGTCTTGCAACTCTTTTAATTCCTTCTGTGCAGCATCTATTTTCTTAAATTTATTTTCTAGTTCATCAATCTTCTTGGTTAGCATGCTTTCAAACCTGGCCGTCATTTCCTCAAATTTCTTGTCTATCAGATGTTGCATGTGAATCACTATTTGGGAACATCCTCTTCAAACTCACTTGCACTGCCTTCATCATTTCCTTGTCGTAGTTTTTTTTGTGGGCTAGCATTTTTGCGCCCTAGAGTACCAAGAGCATTATTGCCATGTTAGATAGTTATCATAGAATCTGTAAACGCGGAAAAGTTTGAGAAAACTTGCTGTGATCTCCTACCAATAATGTCACTACTATATAATAATGAGAATTGTAAGAAGCAATGGGAGGACATATTGTCACATATGAACCTAAGTGTATGGCCTTGCTCACCATGAGTCCTCCATAGCTCATGCAGTGGTTAGAGCGTCCAACCGGCACCTGGAAGGTCATGGGTTCGATTCCAGTTGGGGAGCTCAGAATCTTTTTCTGAGTATTTCGACTTGAGAGCTAGCATTTCTTCATTTATTAAAAAAAAAGAACGTTACTATAACTCCCGGATATAACTCCGTTTACTTTGGATCTCGCGGGTCGCCGCCATGTTCGTCACCATTTTTATCTCTATCGATTTTTGTAAGTAGCTAACCGTTTTCTTCTGACTTGCACCTCACTGTATGAAGCGTAACAACTTAAGATTATGTTTTTTTCTCAGATTCGCCTTGCTGTAATATGGTGCAACAGGTATTTCGTACGTTCAGGTGGTCTGACAACCACGACGTGACTGACCTTTCAAGAAGTAATGTGTTTCTCCCCAACCGTGGAATTAAACAAGGTTGGTTTAGAGTGATTTTACTCAACCCGTGAAATAGTTACTACACAATTAGATACTATTAGACACTAATTCCATTGTTTTCTTTCGTTTTGACTATTTAGCATTAACTGTTAGATGTTGTTTTACGGGTTAAATAAAATCACTCTACAAGTTTGTGGGTGAATTGCGTAGTTTGTTATGTATTTGCGCATGTGTGTTCAAGCATGTGTCGGCCGGCACTTTTCTTTGAAGACATCGCAATGCCGGGCAACGGCGCGAAACCTGTGTCAATCAAGCCGTAGCTAAGAATGACGTCAACCAAAACTAGTTTTCCTCGGTAAACGTTTCGCAGAACTGTACGCGTGTTGCCTGAAAATGCAGCTCAGGCGGATTTTTGGCCTGGTGTTTCACGCCGCCGAGAAAAATCTCGGCTATTGAAACCCTTACACATTTTCAGACCAAAATATGTAATGTTCTCTACCCATTTCTCTACCAAAATCGGTTTCTCAGACCAAATGTCCAAAATTAAACCATTTAGGGAGGCGGCGTGGCCGAGTGGTTTAGGGCGCTGGATTTGAAATCTGGAGGTCCCTGGTTCAAATCCTCCATCCTGCCACTAGCTGGATTTGCTCTCGGTAGTCCCGAGTTCAACTCCTCGGCCCCGCTTTGTAAATAGCCAACTGGACAGCCTTCCACCAGTTGGGATTCTTAACAAGTTTATGTTCTATTTACAATATTTGTTTGATCATTTACAGTGTCCACAATTAGTACAGCGGTGCTAAATCCTCTGACACTTAAAGTTGTTTATTTATTTATTTAATTTTTATACCGCACATACCTAGTACCACTATGATATACCCGGCCACCCAAAGTGCGTATTATTATTTTTACTAACTCGAAGTCCATCTCGAACTCGAACTCGAACTCGATTTACAAACCGATGATTTACGACTCTCATTATCTTTTTATCAAAACAAAACTGTGATAACATAGTGTTAGCTAATGGAACCAATTGGTAAATAAATGTTCAAAGATACCGACGGACACGAGGCTAGACAAGTTTGCTGCCATTAATGTTTTAAAGTGACAGATACTTCTGACAAATTCGAAGATTTCGTTCACATTTCTAGAATTTATTTGTCGCATTTTCTAACAGAAGAAAAGTAAGCGATTTACCTGCAAACAGAAGTTGGTATATGTATATTTTTCAGTTTTCCTGTTCCATTGAAAACAACAATCTTTCAATCAAATTGTCAAATTTCGAATCACGCAATCGTAACGTCCATCGTCGTTTGTCTCACGTGACTGCTAGTCTCAAGCGTAATTCAGATAGACTTGACCATATTTTTGGATATTTAGACTTCTAATTCTAATCCCGAGATGCCCATTGGGCCATCTTTGATTATACCTTTGATTATGCTCTTGCATATTAATTTAAGCGTGAATTCCTTGCCTGGCATACATTTTTATTCTTAAGAAGTTCCCGTGGGACAATCCTTTTAGAAACTATTTGAGTGCTACTGCGCGCACTCGGTTGCCCGGCACCACTATTTCGTACGGCCAAGTCCATTTATAAGGCCAGTTGCTCCCTCTCCCCCTCGCGATTACAATTATCACTGCTACTGATTTAAGTACTCGTTAAACTTTTAATTATCGGTCCGCTGTGCGCACATGGGGGCTTTTATATCGTTCTTTACTGACGTCATTGCTTCTCGAAGTTAGAAATCCATCCTATTTAAAACAGATACGATAAATAGAAAGAGCATGCAAACTTTAGTTATCTTGCCAAATTTGAAAGGAAAAAAGCTAGAAGTCCTAAAGACTTTCTTCAATATGAGAAAGATATTATTCTGTCAGTGACTGAATAATATCTTTCTCATATTTCTACCAAGCTTAAAATACACCATCATTTCTTTCCACTTTCTTCAATAGTTTTTACGTTTTACGTGTAAATAGCAATCCATGCTTGATGGTAAAAGAAGTTAAATTGCCTCCGATCCTCTAAAAAATCGAATCGATCGTCATCTCTTTTCCTTCGAGTTTAAGCGATTGTTCATTCCAACACGCGGTTAGAAACTGACACAAGCTATACGCATGTGCAATGTATATTTGATTATGTCAGGTGTTAAATCTTATACTTCCCGCCATGTTGGCATTTCACAACGCCCGAAAACTGCAAACCACGAATTAGCGTACTTAGCAACAACTCTCTACCAGTAGTTAAGGTTCACGCCCTGAAACGATTTTTACGTCACTTTGCACGGGTAAGCTGTAAACAACCGAGCTTACCCTGCACTTCGTTCGTGTTCTCGCGAGTCATTTCCCACGTGCTTTATAACAGAACAGAGCACAGTTCATGGTTTTTTATTTGATAATTGAACAAACCCTTATATTACTGAATTATGTATCTATCCTCAGAAGTTCCTGATCACGAGGCCTGTGCTTTGAATCGAGAGTTAATGGCATTTAGCCTAATGGAGGAGGATGGTTGTACAACACAGTTCCACGAGCCTACTGAAAATTCTGGGTCTGATTTCAAGTCTGGATTAGGCCCCGCGGCTGAAGCGAAGATATTGTTTCAACACCACACAGTTCTTGATAGACACATGGTAAGTGCTAATATGTTTTAATAGAAATCTCTTGAGAATACAGTGTAGATGTAATTACAAATATGTTGTAGTACATATGTTGTAGTTTTGTTCTTTTCAGTGTGTTAAAAGGACAGGTTATAATGAAAAAAAAAAAAATTTGCGACAGATGAGAGAATTTAAACATCCCCAACATCTGCGTCTTGATATTTGTATTGTAAACAATATTTTCATAACGAAGAAACGAAGAAGCCAGTTCTTGTGTCGTCAAAATAATATAAAGCAAAATAAGGAATAAAAGTAAGAAAATCGAGGAAAAGACAAAAACGAATTAGAAAAAAAATCCTGAGTTAGGCAAGAATACAATGAGCACCTACAAACCGCCCCCATCAATACTATAATGGTTGGCCTCAAGCATGAATTGGTCGTCTAGACCATAGCTATGTCTAGACGGATAATTCGTCTCTAGTATAAATTGGGCCATTATATGAATTAACATCTGTGTTCAGAAAAAAAGGTTTAACCTGACCTATGAGATGCTGGTTTAACATATAACCACTTTGGCCGAAAACAGACGGCTATATATTTTTTAACACCCATCGATGGCGCTCCCTTGATATAGGAATCAGCCTCCTTATTTTCTGCCTTTTTTTGTGCTGAAGAGAACTAATGCATGGATTTATTCCAGGTCACAACGTATTACTGTAAAAACCCAAAGATTCACTACGTTGTAGAACAGCCTGAGCTTCCTGGTTTGATGAAGTTGGTCGGGAAACCATCTATGCTTGGCAGCGGTCGTCGCATGGCAAATAGACGCAGGAGCGCCGAAGGAGGTTTCTGGTGGGCTTGTGGGCATTGTTTCTTCGAACGACGCAAGAAATCGACCATAAAGGCTCATGTTATTCAAAGGATTTGTCAAAAGTCAATAGAAGTTAGATCATCAAGAAGAAAATTAAAAAGCCGCCACTTAAGTCAGAGCGACATGGTGGAAGATATGTCTGAGTGTTATTCGTGGAAAACCTCCCTTTCTGTTTAAGAAATGTCCAGATGAGATGTTATTTTAAGGTTCGATTTGCACCGGGGCCTTGTAAATATTGGCTTCATGATGATGTCATGATAACATTAATTGTTCAATAATGTGCTGCTTTGTAGTTCAATTTAAATTGTAATTATACGATAGATAGAAGTTACCCGTTTTCACTGACCAAAAAAATCTGTGAAATCAGGCAATGACAAACTTTCTTGTGCATGTACATATGTTTTGTTTTTGTAAATTTAGCGTTTGTGGTCAATTTTGAATTATAATTTATGAAGCAATTGAGAAATTCTTGTACATATCATGGAGCTGATGTTTTGTTGAAAGTGGCGGGTCCACTTAAGTAGTCACAAATGGCCATGTATAGTTGTTGATAGTATGTATATAAGTAAATAAGCCAGATGATCTTGTTGAGATATATTTTGATAGATACAATCGCGAAATGTAATAGATAAATTAAGTAACACTTTATACGGTGAACGTCAGCTTGCCGTTGGTTTTGTCTACTTTTCCTCTAATTTTTAAGTAAACCTATCTAACATCTAACATAGAAACGGCAAACGGCAGACAGCAATGCTTAATCAGCGTGGTGCTTAATCACTCTAATATTCTCTTTAATATTTCTAAGAAGTGAGCTGTCACGTAGTTCAGTTTCTTTTTTATTGTGTGTTAGGATTTTCAAAGGCTGGTCTACAGGTCTTACAGCTATCAATTAAAGCTGTTTTATAAAACTCCGAGACTTGTATTTTGTTTAAGAGTGTGACTGAAGAGAAAATGCGTCCATTTCCCAAAATAAAGGTTTGCTCAATATCAGTTAATGTCTGGGTATATGTACCATGTTAGAAGGTCTCAATGAGAACATGGTTAAATTTTTAATGAATGGAAACCACTGACAGATAAGTCCATTGAGACCTACCTTTTCTGGTCAACGGTAAAAAAATTCCTTCATCTTTATTTAGACGGGTTAATTTGAATGCATTTTACGTAACGGTGTAAACTTTCCTCACTAAGAACATATTAAAACAAAAACTGCTAGCCCAACGGCTC